ATTAATTAGCCTGAGAAACACTCCTAACAACTCTGCCTGATACGATATTCTGACGATTTTTTCCAAATCCTCCCACTCTGAGGAATGTTTTCGTTAATGAGAAAAGTGTAGGCAGCTGGCTTTTTTCAGTGTTTGTTTTCAGATACCATCAAAGGAGGAGAAATCAAAATCCTTTCCATTATGTTTGAATTAAGAGCAATTTATTACTTTATGGACATGTCTCATAATCCAGAAGTTCTCTTTTTATTCCTAGATGATTTCATTTTCACTAAAATAACTCGCAGGTTTGAAATAGCCCACATAGGACAGGATTGATAGGATAAAGACCATGCCCTAACATTAGCTACATTACAGCTAACTGAACTTTATTATCTGTGCGGAGATCATTGGAATTCATGGTAATTTCCCCTTTCAAGATCAGTCACTGACTGTTAAAATTAGAAACCACTCAGTCTAACCCTTTTATTTTGCATAAACTGAGGCTGGAGAGATTAAGGAATTTCCATTGGAGCAAAATTGTCTTGGTCTTTCCCAGTAGGAACATTATATAACAAACAATACTAGAACAGGCTATAAATAGCAATGTTTAATTTTATCTCTGTCCCTATTTTCTCTGCCTCCTTTCCTGTCTTGCAGTAGTGAAAAGCTCAAAAGAGCAAGAAGAAAGCGGGGAAGAGTGAAATGAAAACAGGGTTTAAACTGACTCCTGAAAAATAGAAACCCATGTATGGTAGATCACCTCGCAAGCCCCACGAGAACACCAGGCTAACAGCGTCTTGTGGCTGCTCTTTGTATTTGTTTTCCGGATCAGTCAGTAATTGCTTACTAGGCCTTTCAGGGCTTAGTGAGATGGTTGTAGAGTTGCTCTGAAAGGCTGGTCCTGAGATCGATGGCAGTCTTTCTTTCCTCTCTGGTGCCATCTGGGTCTAAGATGGGAGTGGTGGAAGAAGGGACAGCCAGGGCTAAAGAGGATCCTAGCAACGGTTAACATGGGCTTCTGTGAACACAGCTTCCTCCACCTTGATAAGCGTTTACCACACAAAACTCCTAGTCCCTATTTAGGACATTTGACTCAATTTTAGAAAATATAAGGTAAGGTGTTTTAAAAAATTATTTATTTTAGGGACCAGCAGTTAGCGTAATGGCTATGTCGCTGGACTCCCACATAGTCAACCGCGGTTCGAGTCCCGGACCTGGTGGCTTAAACTCACACCGGGCGCGTGTGTGTGTGTGTGCCCTAGATCCCGAGAGAAGAATGGAGGAGAAGGGATTGCGGTGTGGTCATCCCCCTTGGGGGGTGATTTCTCGCTTTCTGTCTCTCTGTCTCTCTCTGTCTGGTGAGCACACACACCCTATAGCAAAAACCTCTCAAAAATTATTATATATATACACACATATATATACTATAGAGCATGTGTACATACCAGAGAGAGAGGGAGAGAAAGTAAGAAAGCAAGCCACCAGGTCTGGGACTTCAATCACAGATGGCCAGGTGGGAGTTCAGCATCTCAACCACCATGCCACCTGCTGGCCCCAAGATAAGATACTTTTATAGTCACTAAACAGGCATTTACTGAAGATCTACTGTGTATTGAGAATTGCTCTAGACAGAAAGAAGAGCAAGATCCAATTAAGAGGTATATGTCTCCAGAAGGAAGGGCCTTTTGCTATAAAAACCTGTTTGTACCCTCGTCCCTATGCTTTCCTTACATGGCTCTATCCTAATGATCCCAGTGACATCAATGATGCCATGGACAGTAGTGAGTAAACTGGAAGTGTCTGTTACCAATATACTTATTGATGCTTTTAGGTACTGTGTTCAGCATTACATCATAAAGACCAGGCCATATAATAACCATTGTTGTTAACTTCACAAAAGTCATCTTTTCTAGCCACAAGTAGACATTTTCGAAAGATACAGAACATTTTAAAGTCTTATAAATAACCCAAATGATTAATAACGTGATTTGACAATGTAGTAAAGAACATTGATTGAATTGCTTTTTGTCTCAAGATCTCACTAGGAAGAGAAAGATTCATCAAATTAGGCAGTTTGGGCTTAGTAGCCTGATACTCTTTTAATGCAAATGAACAGTAGACATCTCAAAACAACAGAAGAGATATAAAAATTGTTTTTACCTTGGGTAATTGATTCTTGACTCAAAATAGTATTTAGCACTGGAATGTAATATACTACCTAGTGCTCAGTCTATTACCTATCATTATCTTTTGAACCCTGTAATTGGACAAACAGGAAACTATTCATAATAATAAGTTTGTTCAAAATCATCTGTTTGCTAAAGTCTGGGGGTGCAGAACCAAAGGCAGAACTGCTTACTTTATGCTTTGCATCGCTTGCTCGTCGCTGTTATGATATACAGGAACATTACCACCTGGGCAGTCCAAAGCATCTTACCCAAATTACTGAAAAACAGTCGTTTTCCTGCAGTCCACGAATAGGCAACATATATCGCATTTGCTGCAAGACAAGGCTGCCATGGAACCCAGCCCAAATGTGTCTGCTGTGCAAGCACCTACGTGAGCTTCACATACAACGCAGGAGAATGTTTTCCTTCTGGAATCTTCCTTAGATCTAAGCACTTAATTGCTTTCTTAAAATCCTACCATTGGTTTTCATTTTCAGTAGTTATGTTTTTTATATCACAGCCATCCAAACATCAGGTTGCATAGGACTCTTGCACGCACAGAGCGCTCCCTCTAAGAGATTTAAATTGAAAGGCAACACAAGGCATTATTGGTCTATTTTCAGTTTTCATTATCAATAAAACAGGAGATCAGCATTTTCACGCTGTGTGAAGGCTTCAGGAAAGTGCAATGCTGCTGTCATTTTCTTTAGACCAGGCTGCTGCCTGCCCCAGCTAATGTAGATGGAGGGATGAGCCCATCAAAATAAAAATAAAATAATGAAAGGACTAGAATCAGAGAGTGGGCTGCTGACCTGGTCCACTGCAGAACTCCCTGAAAATGTCCCTTTGAATTTAGTGGAGCCTGGCTGGTAAAGACCACAGATCATGACAGAACATAAATTCGCTCATAATGAGATTAGTAGGCAGGCAAAATAAATGTCCTGCTGTTACATTAGAGGCAGACTCTAATCTGGCGTTTTCCTTGGAAATGATCATTTCCTTTGCAACAGGGGAACCATGGATGCAACCAGCTGAAATCCGACAGATTCTGTTTTGCCACATAGTTATTTTTCATCTTCTTCTGTCTTCTTAATAGCAGTTTTGGGGGGGACATATAAACGAGTTGTGAGTCTTAAAGACTATTACCAGAGTGAGTTATGGGAGCCTGTGTTCATGATCATCCATCCTGTTTCCCAGACTCTCTTTTGAAGAAAGGTTTGGTGCAACTCCCCCTCCCTCTTCTAGACCAGAGCTCTGCTATGGAGGAGGTACTGTGACCCCCAGGGTCTTCTTACTCTAACCTTAAGAATCAAAGGCAGAATAAATTCACTATTGCATTATGTTTTTTAATCTCAATTCAACTCTACTTCTTAAAACCACTGGAAACAAGTATCACACACTAAAGAGCCTTAAGAAAATGCCCAGATCAGGTAAACCCACATGGTTTCTGAGTAGAACAAAGACCTCAAATATGGAGTTTGAGTGCAAAGGACTGCCCTTGTCTGCAGAAAAAGGCAATCTCGCCTGGGCATACAATACCCTCCTCTCATTAAAAATGCAAGATAGCATCTCCTCCTGGATGCTTTCCACAAGAACCCAATGCAAGTTCATGGACTGCATCGTTCTTAGTAGTGAGTGGCATTTAATCAAAGCCTCTGTCAAATAATCTCAGAGTTTCATGAGCCCTGTAAGGTCACCAAGCAAGTTAAGAGGTTCTTTCAAAAGGAATAGAAGATCAGACTCTGAGTTTAGGAGTACATGAAGCTTCTCTAAAGAAGGCATAAAAGATTTAATTTCTCTACATTTTCTAAGGCCTGTGCTAAATATACCTTCTCTGTAAAACTTTAGATTAGCAATAGATCATTTGCTAATACCCCAATTTGTGCCATTTTTGACATACTGTTTTTCTTAGGCTGGAAAGAAATCATAGAATTATATAAGAGGGGTCTTCAAAAAGTTAATGGAAAATGCATATTATGAAAAAATATACATGGATTTGAAAATGTTTCAGTAAAATAAACCCTACTTTAATTCCATTTTTTTCTATAAACTCTTAGAAGTCCACTTGTATGTTTTACAATTCAAAGAATAGTTTTCAAACATTATTTTGTCTAATAAAATGGTTCCTGTTGACAGTTGGTGCTTCCTTCCCAAAACTGCAAATCCAGCCACTTTAAAGGAGAAATTAAATTTTGGACCAATTTCACAAGTTTTTTCTTTTAACTTTCCACTTCTCAATAGCTTTAGTTGTGTCTCTATTTGGGATACAACCCAGTTCCGCTTGCGTGTGGTTTTTTTGTGTTTCTAACTTGCAAATGTCAAAGAACTATGTCCCATTTATAAGACTTTCTCCATTCTCTGTTAAGTCCTCCCTCATCAGACAAAACAGCTTACGAGGAGAAAATCTACTTTTAGGTAAAATGTATGCTCTTGCAACTTATCTTTTTCATTTCCATGCTTCTTTCTTCCTTGCCTTCCCACATCTGTCCCTTGACTCCCCACTGCGCATCCGCAGTTATATTAATAACTTAAGTTGCAAGTGGTAAAGGGGTTAAATTTGCCAAGTGCCCAGTACATTTGGTATGTGTCAATGATTATTCATTGCCCTTCCCATGTTTAAAATCACAGAGTTAGTTTCATGATACACTTCCCACAACTGTCCCTTGACTCCCCACTGCACATCCGCAGTTATTAACTTAAGTTGCAAGTGGTAAAGGGGTTAAATTTGCCAAGTGCCCAGTACATTTGGTATGTGTCAATGATTATTCATTGCCCTTCCCATGTTTAAACTCACAGAGTTAGTTTCATGATACATAATCTTCTTTTAAAATTTTCAAAATTACGTTTGCTTACCTCATATAAATGAACTTGTTCTTGTGTTACAGCAAAGATCAACAAAACATTGTTTTGTACCAGTTTATCAATGAGTTGTCCAATTGTTGGATATTCCTAAAATTAACACATAGATTTTAAGTATCGCTTTAGAAAAGAATGTATAAATAAATAAATAAATGTAAAATAAAGAAGATGTCTCACTGAGTTTGGCATTTCAGTGTTCACAGGCATGACTGTATCATTCGAAGTAGACAAATACACAATTAGCACTATTCAGTTTGTTGGTTTAATCATTGTTTTCCAAATCTTGTAGGTTTGATTAAGTCCCAAGAATCAGTTCCTGTCAGTGTAGTATATTATGCTCTGTCACTTCAAAGTAAATCACTGGAAATTTACTTAAAGACTTATAGCATGTTGTAATTTCAAGGGTAGAGAAACATTTTACTCCTTCTAAGTGCTGCTCCTTATCAGCGGGCTTGGAATGTTGGAGTAGAGGGAGGGGCAACTGGACTGTGGTCTATGTGACTGAAGTGGCTCTTGTAGCTTTGAAACTCTTACTGGAATTGAATGAGGTGGGTTGAGGGTTGAGGAAGGGACAGTCTGCTGAGGAATGACACACTGCAGTTCCTACATTAATCTGATTTGAAACATTCCTCCCTCAGTTCTTGGGTTTGGTCTTATCGCATTTTTAAGTCACAAATCAAACTATTGGGATCCTGCAATATTTTTGTAGGACAACTGAAACTATATCGTACTTCTGTTCTGTTGATGCATTCATTCCCCAGAAATGTAAGTGCTTTAACAATAAGTGATGTCATTGATTATCAAACTTGAAGAGGGACTTTACTTTCTAAGTCTGAAACACAGAGCACTTTTATCTATCATATGAATCGAAGTGCGAGAATGTAAAAGAGAAAATTCAAGTAAGGAAATAACCTAGAAACAATAAAACTAAGAATATGTTGATTATGACTGAAGTCAGTCAAAATGGAGGAACACTGATAAATAACCACCACCACCACCACCACCACCACCCCCGTCTACCCACCTGGTATGGTCACATATTCTCAGAACTACTGAAGAATACTGAAATACATTCATCTGAAGTCTCCTTTAGTTGCAAGTTGAGAGAAAAGGCATACTTTTGCCTAAAATACTCATGCAAATTACCTAACTGCAAATCTGACAGTGTAATATGAGCTTTCCACGACATTTGGATTTTATCAGTTGAAATCCCAGATGATGTAAATCCTCCTGAGTCTAGCATGTTTAATTTCCTCTGCTTTTCAATTGCCCAAAATATTCTTCACCTTAAAGCCTAAATTCTTCCAAGTCTGACCCCTCCCACCTCCACATGTTCTCTCACCTTTCAACTGCCGTGTGTACACAGCCAAGCTTATCCCACTGAGCCCTTCACAGTGGGCAAATGTGCCTTTCTATTTGAATCAGATCTACTGGTTTAATCCTCACTATTACACTGTAAATTCAAGGCCAAGAACCATATCCAATTATTCTGTGGCCCCAGGAGTTTGGCCTAGTGTTATGAGTATAAGGAAGTGCTTAAAGGACCAGGTTGAAGGCAGGTGCCTGACCAGGAAAATGGCGCCTGATTTCTGTGCACCTGTAGCAACTTATTTAGCAAGAACAAATTGGACGTTTCCTAGAGGAGACAGTGAAGTGAACATTTACTAGACAAAATGGTCACATTAGACAGTAAGTAGTATTTGTTTTTATGATCTTATTATTTTCCAGATGTCAATTATGGGGCATTTGAAAAGTTGCAAGAAAAAGGCAATGAGAAAAGGATCCATTTCTCAGTTTCTTGCCTGTCCCTGACTGTAAGACAGCCCGTTGCTTTTCCCACTGATCTTCAATATGAAAAGGCAGATTATATGATTAGAGATTATATGTTTGAGACGCACTACTGGTCAAATTTTAGAGGAAACATTCATGACAAAATTTAGACATTTGGGTCGAAGTACGGTAGTGAGTAATTTACAAACTGTTAGAGTGCTAGAGAATCATTTTTCAGACTGATATTGGAATACTGGGTCTCTCTCTTTCCCAGGAACACTGATAAATAACCACCACCACCACCACCACCACCACCCCCGTCTACCCACCTGATATGGTCACATATTCTCAGAACTACTGAAGAATACTGAAATACATTCATCTGAAGTCTCCTTTAGTTGCAAGTTGAGAGAAAAGGCATACTTTTGCCTAAAATACTCATGCAAATTACCTAACTGCAAATCTGACAGTGTAATATGAGCTTTCCACGACATTTGGATTTTATCAGTTGAAATCCCAGATGATGTAAATCCTCCTGAGTCTAGCATGTTTAATTTCCTCTGCTTTTCAATTGCCCAAAATATTCTTCACCTTAAAGCCTAAATTCTTCCAAGTCTGACCCCTCCCACCTCCACATGTTCTCTCACCTTTCAACTGCCGTGTGTACACAGCCAAGCTTATCCCACTGAGCCCTTCACAGTGGGCAAATGTGCCTTTCTATTTGAATCAGATCTACTGGTTTAATCCTCACTATTACACTGTAAATTCAAGGCCAAGAACCATATCCAATTATTCTGTGGCCCCAGGAGTTTGGCCTAGTGTTATGAGTATAAGGAAGTGCTTAAAGGACCAGGTTGAAGGCAGGTACCTGACCAGGAAAATGGCGCCTGATTTCTGTGCACCTGTAGCAACTTATTTAGCAAGAACAAATTGGACGTTTCCTAGAGGAGACAGTGAAGTGAACATTTACTAGACAAAATGGTCACATTAGACAGTAAGTAGTATTTGTTTTTATGATCTTATTATTTTCCAGATGTCAATTATGGGGCATTTGAAAAGTTGCAAGAAAAAGGCAATGAGAAAAGGATCCATTTCTCAGTTTCTTGCCTGTCCCTGACTGTAAGACAGCCCGTTGCTTTTCCCACTGATCTTCAATATGAAAAGGCAGATTATATGATTAGAGATTATATGTTTGAGACACACTACTGGTCAAATTTTAGAGGAAACATTCATGACAAAATTTAGACATTTGGGTCGAAGTACGGTAGTGAGTAATTTACAAACTGTTAGAGTGCTAGAGAATCATTTTTCAGACTGATATTGGAATACTGGGTCACTCTCTTTCTATCTATACACACTTCCACAGCATTGTCATCGTATGGAATCACTAGTCCTGTGTCACATTACCCCAAGTGGTAAATGGGGAGAGTAAGCTGCTTCATAATTTAATTCTGTTTCATGCATTAGCTAGCTTCCTCTGTGGTCAGGCACAGTGCTGTCAGGAAATAGAGATAATCAGCCAGTCCTTATTATGAGGAGTATGTAATAGGGAAAAAACAGATGGCTGTAAACAAGCACATTTTCACAGAGATGTGTGCAGAAGAGAGCTCTGTATGAGGACAAAGGGAGAAATGATCACTTCGGAGTCTAGCACGGGTCAAAGAGGGCACTCTGGGATAGAAATGGTTGGATTGGGGTTTAAAGGCTATTTCAGAGCTTCTCGGCAGTCTAGGAGAGAAGGACATTGCAGGTAGAAAACACGAGCATGGCAGCCTCATGGTTGGCTCAGGGCAAGCAGTTACGTACATAGAGTTCTGCTGAGGATCAAATGAGGTCATGTGTCAAAAGGGTGCTCAAAAGATGAACTTCTTTTGCATAAGTCAAGTAATTTTTTCTTTGAACATCACCGTCAGTTTTCTTTTTTAAAGAATTATTTTATTGAACTTTATTTATTTACTTAATTTGACTGGAGAAGGATAGAGTAAAAGAGAAAGAGGGAACGTGAGAAAGCAAGCTGCCTTGTCTGGGACTTGAACCACAGTCAGCCATGTGGGAATCCAGTGCCCTTAACCACCATGCTACCAGCTGGCTCCCACCATCAGTTTTTAAATGATGCAAAATAAGTCAATCAAGCAGTACCTGACGAATTGTTTCCCATGGAACCCCATGGTTCATCAAAGCAGGGCTTGATTTAGGGGCATGCCTCTGGGGTCATCATTCATAGCCACTCCTGTGTGGTTACTATTCTGATCTGGGCCCCTCTCCACGGGGCTGTGGTTGAGAATGGAACGAGCTGCTTCTATTGCTTTCTACTGGCCCCAGAATCTTGGAAGAATCTGGGGAGGTTCCGGGACTGCATGTGGGACAGCAGATCCAAACTTCTCATATGTCCCCACCACCCTGTGTGCCTCTGGGGATCTGCGAATGATGGTGAGGCTTGAGGAAGGGCAATTTGTTCTTCTCAGATCAGCAAATGTGTTCAGCTTTCACCAAACATGAGTTATCTTGTGTTGTACTACAGCGACTCTTTGCCTGCTTGTAGCTCTGAAAACTGTAGAGTGCAGGTTACTCACCAAGATGGTGGACATGGAATATTCATTCTTGCTGTCCAAGTGACAGAGCCCGTCATTAGGGATGACGATGCCTGCTAGTTTGCTGTCCATGCCAAAATGAGAATCGGCATCACTCACAAAGACCAGGAGATGGAGGGAGTCATTCCGCCAGCCGATTTTTTCCTATAGTGAGAAGGAAAGGTATAGGTTGTATTGAAGAGAGGCAGGCATTTACTGAGTGTGGATCAATTATGCTTAGACACATTCAGATTATAAAAAATAGTGCTGGTCTATCTATTTTAGCTTTTTCCCTCTACCGCGGGTTGATAATATTAACATATTAAAAACATGAAATTCTGTGACATTTGCTTTTTCCTGGGTAACATTTTCAGATGATTTATGCTTCAGGAAAAAAAAAAGAAGCCACTGTAATCAGCATTCAGTTGATCTTGACTTTTACATAGTTAATTACTTTTACCATCCTGCCTTCAATTCACCAGGAAAAAAAAAGAGGGAAGGAGGCAGGAGAGGTCAGAGATAATTCCAGATCTAAGCTGAAGCAAAACTAGTCACAATGCAATATGAAACAGAGCCAAAGTAAGCCTGTTCAGCAAAATGTCACCCACTCTTTAGGCATATTTCTTTTTCTAAAGCTATCATCCAAAACATTATAAACTTAATACAAGGATTAGAATTACTTATCAAAGTATGGGCTCAAGTTCCTAATAAAGATTGCCTTGGCTGGGTCTAGCAGAACCTGCTCCTTCAATTAATATTAGTCTGAGAACTAGTTGAGTGAACACTTATCCAGGCTACTCCATCCAATCTTATCCCTTTCCTTCTTCTTCTCATTCCTTAACCCTCCCATGCCCTAGGATCTTCAGTCCTGTCTATTTCCTGATGTTTTTCAATGGCGGGGTACTGTCTAAAGACAGAGGAATCATTCTCATGGACATTTGTAGATAGCCAAGGAGGGATGATAGCTATGTAATCATCTGTATACATATACATGCATTCAGGGCATTTTATTTTTTTATTTAATATTCTACTTTTGATTTTTATTTTCACCATGGTTAATACAAAAATGAATCAATCTGATCTAGATATTTGAAAATTAATCACACATGACTGATTATAACTGAATTTTTGTAACAGATTTTTAGGCATGAAAAAATAGTCCTGGGGCCAGCAGATAGCATAGAGGTTAAGACAGCTGGATCTCACATCGCTGACTGTGGTTCAAGTCTTGGACCTGTGGCTTGAAAGGCCTGCTGGGCATGCATGCATGAGTGTCCAAAATCTTGAGAGGAGGGGTTGGCAGGTGCATAGTAGTTAATACCAGGGAGTTACCACATAGTCGACTGAGGTTTGAATCCTGGACCTGGCAGCTTCTCCCTCCCTCTCTATATGTCTCTCTCTGGTCAAATTAAAAAATAATATTAAATAAAATTAAATAAATAATTCCAAAAAGGAAAAAATATTTTGAGAGGAAAATGGAAGAGAAGGGATTGTGACTTAGCCATCCCTCCTGGGGTAATTTCTCACTTTCCCTCTCTCTCTGGCAAGCACATGTGCCTATGACAAACTAAAAATCAGTCAGTTAATAACAGTTCCCATTTCAATATGACTAAATTTAACATTTTATAAAAACTTTGTGTTTTAAGATAAATATCAAATGCAGAAATATGGTGATTAAGACGAAAGATAAAACTAGCTTAGCCACCCCTCCTGGGGTAATTTCTCACTTTCCCTCTCTCTCTGGCAAGCACATGTGCCTATGACAAACTAAAAATCAGTCAGTTAATAACAGTTCCCATTTCAATATGACTAAATTTAACATTTTATAAAAACTTTGTGTTTTAAGATAAATATCAAATGCAGAAATATGGTGATTAAGACGAAAGATAAAACTAGCTTAGCTCTTGGGAGCAGTTTTGTGAATAAGTGATACAATTACTATTAGCAGAGTGAGATGCTACTGCCTCTCAACATACCTTACACACAGCTGCTTGCATGATTGCATCAAACCCACCCTCTGGTGTGTCAATATTTGCAGAAATTTTCTGATTCTTCACAATTTCATTGAATCGTTGGGCATCATTTGTCAACGGCAGAATGTGCTTGAATCCAAATGTAGGCAAGCAGAAATATGGAATACTACTGCAAAAGCAAGGTGTGAAAACATTCCTGATTAAATATGATGTCACACAATTAATGCATCTGAAAGCCCTAGCAACATTTCTTTAAATGAAGATTAATTTTTCTATCTGGGCTATGGATCTTACTGTTAAGGTTGTTGTCATCATTTCCTGTCCACACCTTCCAAGTTGACCATATTAGTTAACATTTAGGAGTTTAGAGCTTATTGTGTGTTTTGCACTGGCTCAAACTCAGATAACCCATTACCAGGTGATCAGACTCCCCACTCCATTATGTGTGTGTGTGTACGTGTGTGTGTGTGTGTGTGTAATCATTACCTTCTCTTGACTCCCAGCCAGTATCTAGCATTAGTATAAGTGATAAAAAAAAAATATACTTGTATTCTGATAGTTCAAGCTGTCATCTAGTTTGAGTCACGTAGTAGCAAGACAAGAGAGAAACCTGTTTTCTTTCTCTTCTACTCCCTCCTGCCTTCCCAGCCCTGCCTGCCAAGGACCCAAAGATCATGCAGGGCTTTTAGTTTTAGAGTCCGACTCCACTGAGATTAAATAGATTGTTGCCTGGGAATAAAATTACCACTTAAAACTTGATGTTTGGATGAATTCTCCATCAAAAGTATTGTAGTAGATCAGAAAGAGCTGATCATAAATTCTGCTATATCTCATTGCAGAAACTGTGCATGAAACTTTGGGCAAGTTATTCAACCCTTCTGAGCCTCAGGTTTTTCATGTGTAAAATACCGTTAGTAAAGAATAGAAGTTCTCAAAGTGAGATCCCTGGACGAGCACTGTAAGCATCATGTGGGCACTTGTTAAAAACGCAAAATCTGAAGTGCTACCCCAGACCTACTGAATTAGAAAAGCTGGTGTGGGATTTGGTGATCTGTGCTAGGCCGAGCCCTCTTGCTGTATGCTAAAGCTTGAGAACCACAGGTGTAGCAGGACAAAGAGACAAAAAGGAGTAGCCCCCAGTGATGTCGGGCATGCTGCACCCGAGGACCCTGGGCGTCAGCTCTGCAGGTCAGCAACCTGTCTGTCAGCACATGCAGAGCACGTGCAACTTTCCAGATCAGACTCTGCTCACCGAGTTCATCTGCTGGAGGTAAAATCTTCATCATTTACCAAACCTGTATTTGTGAATTCAACTACTTCCTAAAATTTACTTGTAATCTCACAATCAATACTTGTGTTGCTTTCTCTGTCATTCATGGACATGTGCAGAGAAGTTAAATTAAAAAAAAAAAAAAAAAAGCCAGAGTTTTGTTGTGGTTGTTTTTGTTTTGGTTAAGATTTTTGCCATTGTGCACACTCGTTTGTCAGAGAGAGACAGTGAGAGAGAACGTGAGAAATCACCCTGGGGAACGGGCACGCTGCAATCCCTCTCTTCCACTCAACTCCAGGGATTTTGAGCACACATACACATGTGCCTGGCGTGATTTTCAAGCCGCCAAATCCAGGACTCAAATTGTGGTAGATCATGTCAGAATCTAGTGCCTTAACTACCATGCCACCTGCTGGCCCCTAAAGCATGAGTCTTCCTAGGTGCATGTTCCCATCTGTGGTCAAACAAGGTGACCTTGTTTCAGCTCTTATATTGCACTCAAGTGTCCTTTTCTTGGTTTATTTGATGGTACTTTTGCTTCATTTTAGTGCTTTTTGTTGATGATTTCACTGTTAAAAATGTCCCCTGAGCATAACGTTGAAGTGTTGTCTAGTGTTCCCTAGCACAAGTAGGGTGCAACATGCCTTACGGAGAAACACGTGTGTGGAGTAAGCTTCATTCAGGTCTGAGTTATAGTGCTGTTGTTTGAGAGTTCAGTGTTAATGAATCAACAGTACCTATTAGAAAAGGTGTCTTTTTTGTTGTTGTTAAGAAGCTTTTGCCTTAGGGCGCATGCGCTCATCAGAGAAAGAGAGAGACAGAAATGGCTAGAGAGAAAGTGAGAAATCACCCCCTGGGGAGGATGGCCACACCCACAATCCCTTCTCCTCCCTGGATCTTGGGTATGCATGCACATGCTCCTGGTGTGATTTTCAAGCCACTGGGTCCAGGACTCGAACCACAGTTAGCCATGTGAAAGTCCAGCTGATGAAAATATTGTGACCAGAAGTTCACAGGAACCTAATTCTGTATTTCCCTTAGAAGAAATGCTTTGATATTTGGTAATTAAGCACTTGGGACAAGTTTATAGAATATGACTACAGTGAACAATGGGAATGGGCTCTGTATAAATCAGAATGACTATGAATTGATTCCTTTGTACTGAGTAATGAGGCTTCTGCTGGAACCAGAATGCTGGTGTTTTTAAGGACAGTCATTTTCCTCTAGTCAGTATACTTTCATTAAAAGCAGGTTGGAATCTGACATGTCCCCAGACTTCAGAACAAGGGCAATTAGAGAACCCCAGCATTGAATGGGACAGCCATGTTGCCCTGAGATGGCCGTCTCCAGAATCAATGCCCTTAGTCACACCTGCCTGCTCCTCAATCTGTGGTTGGCTTCCTCAGCTAATAAAAGTTTGAAAACTCAGGAAGTTTTCTGGCTAAAGCTCTTGGATAGATGTGGCCACACTTGCCTTTATAATCCCTCTTTCTCTGTCATCCCTTAACCCACTAAACCTGTTTATTCCTTCAGCTGCTCAGACACCTGATCTGTTAGGCCTTGTCAGTCACTTCCAAGAAACTTTCCATAATTTCCTTCTTTTAAGAAAAATCAGATTGTTTAAAAAGTAATTAATTTCTTTCTTCCATGAGAGAGAGAAAGGGACAGAGAAACCCTCCCAACAGGATCTCCATGCCATGATCCACCTCCAGGCTCAGCCTGCCCAGATCACAGACAGGTATGAGCATTGAGAGAGGTCCCTGAATATGAATCTAAGACCTTTTCCATGTGGGTCCAGTTGCATTTCCACTGCGCCACCACCTGGCCCTCATATTTTATTTCTGATTCATTATATTTAACTGTAACTTTCAGAAGACAATATTTTTTTACCTATTTTTAACATCATGCACCAGGTTTCATTGAAACACTAAAGCACTGGCCCCAGATACAGAACTCTCATGAGGCTTGAATGAGATGAAATATGCAAAGCATACAGCACAATGAGTTTTTCAGAGTAAGTGCTTAATAAACATTAGTGCCATTTTTTTATATAAATCACTTCATAGAGAGTCTAGCACAGATTTGAAAACATAATGGATTTGACTAATGATATCTTTAGAATTATATGCTTTTCCCTAATTAAGATAATGCATGCTCATTAAAGAAAATGTGGATTTTATATAAAAATATGAGGAGGGAAATTTTAAAACTTGAATGATTGTGAGAGGTATTATACTTTGATTATTTCTCTACTGCTACAAATTTATTTTGAAAATCTGTGATTAAATAATATAGTGATCTCTCTACACACATCTTTTCTAAATAGTCTATATCTCTGCTTAGACTAAATTATTTAATTTATTTTGACTCATATTAGGAAACTCCTAACCAAAAAATGTGTATCAGTTGTCATATACAATATTAATATATAATACTCTATCATTTAAAAATTAAATAAAATTGCACCACTTGTATGATTCGCTAAAAATTGCATCTGAGGCTAGACCCACGGCCTGGTGGTTGAAGCAGCTGGGTCCCACATGGTCCAACGTGTGACTTGAGTACCAGACAGACCTGGAGGCTTGAGAAACACGCCAGGCACATGCGGGTGCATGCCCCAAGCCCTGACAGGATGGTGAGATGGAGGAGAAGGGATTGTGACGTGACCATTCCCCATTTCCTCATTTTTCTCTCTGCATCTTTCTCTGGCAAGTGCACCTGCCCTCTTACAGTAAATTTTCATTTTATTTCAACTATTTATCAGCGCTTTGTATTTCTTTTGTTAATCTCCAACTTTTACCATTTGTTCATTTTCTTACTGAGACTTTTTTAAGAATTATTTTATTTATTAATTATTATTATTATTTTAATTTGCTCTAGGTCATGCATGCTCACCAGAGAGAAACAGAGAGAGCGAGAAGGAAAGTGAGAAAGCAAGCTGCCAGGTCCAAAACTTGAATCAAGGTTGACCATGTAGGAGTCCAGTGCCTTACCCACCATGCCGCTTGCTGGCTCCTTATTGAGATTTTTTTAATTTTCTTATTTCATTTTTAAAACTTTTAAAATACTTTTTTTTTGTTTGTCTTTTCATTTTGTTTATGATGTTTTTGGATATATAATTAAAAACTTTTTATATCATCAAAACTTTTCTTACTCTCAAAGATGAAATGTGTTTTAATGTGATATGACAAAGAGGTCTAAATTAAAAAAAAAATAACCTATTCAATTACAATAATTTACCATTTGTCTTAATTGTCCCTGTAGTGTTTGAAGTAACTGTGGAGTAGTAAAACTGCATTCGATTAGAATAAAACTGAACAGTTATCTACCTTTGGCAAGGTACTTAACACTGTTGGCCTCAATATCGTCTATAAAACGAGACTGATGATACTGACTTCACCAAGTGGCTGTGAAGATTATAGTACTTAAAATGTAACTTTGTCCCTGGGACCTAACTGTTCTTGGAAATTGTTTGTTTAATCTTTTATTTGGGGCAGTTGGTTCTCACTATACCAAAATGACAACTGCATCTTCTGGAACCAAACATCTAGGAGTTCTCCTTTTGTAAGAAATTTGCATTTTTGTTAGTTAACTGATAATTCTAATTATCTTACTAGAACTCTATGCTTTTGGAAGTAGAGTAAAACTTTAACTTAAGTCACTAAGCATATTCATGTGATAATAGGCCATGTAACTAAAGCAAAGCAGAATTCAGAGGTAGGCCACAATAGCGAGTTCTGTCAGGAGACAATTTCTCTTTTGGTCAGAGCTCTTCTTTTAAGAAATGTTCTGGGCCAGCAGGTGGCATAGTGGTGAAGGCACTAGATTCCCATGTGGTCCACGGCAGTTTGAGTCCCAGACCTGGCAGCTTGAAACTCACGCCAGGCGCATGTGCACGC